AAAGGTGTGCGACTAATTTCACTGGATTCATGACCTCATGATTGCCCTCTACCACTGTACCAAAGACCAGAAACTTTTACTGTAGAAATTTGGAGAAATATGGAGTTAAAGTAGCCATTTTGGTCCAAAATAGCCTAAAAATGGTCAAAACATGTCACTTTTGATCTACTGTAACTTTTCACTGTAAAAAGGTGTGCGACTAATTTCACTGGATTCATGACCTCATGATTGCCCTCTACCACTGTACCAAAGACCAGGAACTTTTACTGTAGAAATTTGGAGAAATATTGATTTAAAGTAGTCATTTTGGTCCAAAATAGCCTCCAAAATAGTCAAAACATGTCACTTTTGATCTACTGTATCTTCTTACTGTAAAAAGGTGTGCGACTAATTTCACTGGATTCATGACCTCAACATTGCCCTCTACCACTGTACCAAAGACCAGAAACTTTTACTGTAGAAATATTGAGAAATATTGAGTTAAAGTAGCCATTTTGGTCCAAAATAGCCTCCAAAATGGTCAAAACATGTCACTTTTGATCTACTGTAACTTTTTACTGTAAAAAGGTGTGCGACTAATTTCACTGGATTCATGACCTCATGATTGCCCTCTACCACTGTACCAAAGACCAGACACTTTTACTGTAGAAATATTGAGAAATATTGAGTTAAAGTAGCCATTTTGGTCCAAAATAGCCTAAAAATGGTCAAAACATGTCACTTTTGATCTACTGTAACTTTTACTGTAAAAAGGTGTGCGACTAATTTCACTGGATTCATGACCTCATGATTGCCCTCTACCACTGTACCAAAGACCAGAAACTTTTACTGTAGAAATTTGGAGAAATATGGAGTTAAAGTAGCCATTTTGGTCCAAAATAGCCTAAAAATGGTCAAAACATGTCACTTTTGATCTACTGTAACTTTTACTGTAAAAAGGTGTGCGACTAATTTCACTGGATTCATGACCTCATGATTGCCCTCTACCACTGTACCAAAGACCAGAAACTTTTACTGTAGAAATATTGAGAAATATGAGTTAAAGTAGCCATTTTGGTCCAAAATAGCCTAAAAATGGTCAAAACATGTCACTTTTGATCTACTGTAACTTTTACTGTAAAAAGGTGTGCGACTAATTTCACTGGATTCATGACCTCATGATTGCCCTCTACCACTGTACCAAAGACCAGAAACTTTTACTGTAGAAATATTGAGAAATATGGATTTAAAGTAGCCATTTTGGTCCAAAATAGCCTAAAAATGGTCAAAACATGTCACTTTTGATCTACTGTATCTTCTTACTGTAAAAAGGTGTGCGACTAATTTCACTGGATTCATGACCTCAACATTGCCCTCTACCACTGTACCAAAGACCAGAAACTTTTACTGTAGAAATTTGGAGAAATATGGAGTTAAAGTAGCCATTTTGGTCCAAAATAGCCTAAAAATGGTCAAAACATGTCACTTTTGATCTACTGTAACTTTTACTGTAAAAAGGTGTGCGACTAATTTCACTGGATTCATGACCTCATGATTGCCCTCTACCACTGTACCAAAGACCAGACACTTTTACTGTAGAAATATTGAGAAATATTGATTTAAAGTAGCCATTTTGGTCCAAAATAGCCTAAAAATGGTCAAAACATGTCACTTTTGATCTACTGTAACTTTTACTGTAAAAAGGTGTGCGACTAATTTCACTGGATTCATGACCTCATGATTGCCCTCTACCACTGTACCAAAGACCAGAAACTTTTACTGTAGAAATTTGGAGAAATATGGAGTTAAAGTAGCCATTTTGGTCCAAAATAGCCTAAAAATGGTCAAAACATGTCACTTTTGATCTACTGTAACTTTTCACTGTAAAAAGGTGTGCGACTAATTTCACTGGATTCATGACCTCATGATTGCCCTCTACCACTGTACCAAAGACCAGGAACTTTTACTGTAGAAATATTGAGAAATATTGATTTAAAGTAGTCATTTTGGTCAAAATAGCTCCAAAATAGTCAAAACATGTCACTTTTGATCTACTGTATCTTCTTACTGTAAAAAGGTGTGCGACTAATTTCACTGGATTCATGACCTCAATATTGCCCTCTACCACTGTACCAAAGACCAGAAACTTTTACTGTAGAAATTTGGAGAAATATGGAGTTAAAGTAGCCATTTTGGTCCAAAATAGCCTAAAAATGGTCAAAACATGTCACTTTTGATCTACTGTAACTTTTTACTGTAAAAAGGTGTGCGACTAATTTCACTGGATTCATGACCTCAACATTGCCCTCTACCACTGTACCAAAGACCAGACACTTTTACTGTAGAAATATTGAGAAATATTGATTTAAAGTAGCCATTTTGGTCCAAAATAGCCTAAAAATGGTCAAAACATGTCACTTTTGATCTACTGTAACTTTTACTGTAAAAAGGTGTGCGACTAATTTCACTGGATTCATGACCTCATGATTGCCCTCTACCACTGTACCAAAGACCAGAAACTTTTACTGTAGAAATATTGAGAAATATTGAGTTAAAGTAGCCATTTTGGTCCAAAATAGCCTAAAAATGGTCAAAACATGTCACTTTTGATCTACTGTAACTTTTACTGTAAAAAGGTGTGCGACTAATTTCACTGGATTCATGACCTCATGATTGCCCTCTACCACTGTACCAAAGACCAGAAACTTTTACTGTAGAAATTTGGAGAAATATGGAGTTAAAGTAGCCATTTTGGTCCAAAAATAGCCTAAAAATGGTCAAAACATGTCACTTTTGATCTACTGTAACTTTTCACTGTAAAAAGGTGTGCGACTAATTTCACTGGATTCATGACCTCATGATTGCCCTCTACCACTGTACCAAAGAACAGGAACTTTTACTGTAGAAATATTGAGAAATATTGATTTAAAGTAGTCATTTTGGTCCAAAATAGCCTAAAAATGGTCAAAACATGTCACTTTTGATCTACTGTATCTTCTTACTGTAAAAAGGTGTGCGACTAATTTCACTGGATTCATGACCTCATGATTGCCCTCTACCACTGTACCAAAGACCAGGAAACTTTTACTGTAGAAATTGGAGAAATATGGAGTTAAAGTAGCCATTTTGGTCCAAAATAGCCTAAAAATGGTCAAAACATGTCACTTTTGATCTACTGTAACTTCTTACTGTAAAAAGGTGTGCGACTAATTTCACTGGATTCATGACCTCAACATTGCCCTCTACCACTGTACCAAAGACCAGACACTTTTACTGTATAAATATTGAGAAATATTGATTTAAAGTAGCCATTTTGGTCCAAAATAGCCTAAAAATGGTCAAAACATGTCACTTTTGATCTACTGTAACTTTTTACTGTAAAAAGGTGTGCGACTAATTTCACTGGATTCACGACCTCATGATTGCCCTCTACCACTGTACCAAAGAGCAGGAACTTTTACTGTAGAAATCTGGAGAAATATGGAGTTATAAGTAGCCATTTTGGACCAAAATGGCTACTTTACCTCAATATTTCTCAATATTTCTACAGTAAAAGTGTCTGGTCTTTGGTACAGTGGTAGAGGGCAATGTTGAGGTCATGAATCCAGTGAAATTAGTCGCACACCTTTTTACAGTAAAAGATACAGTAGATCAAAAGTGACATGTTTTGACCATTTTTAGGCTATTTTGGACCAAAATGACTACTTTAAATCAATATTTCTCAATATTTCTACAGTAAAAGTGTCTGGTCTTTGGTACAGTGGTAGAGGGCAATCATGAGGTCATGAATCCAGTGAAATTAGTCGCACACCTTTTTACAGTAAGAAGATACAGTAGATCAAAAGTGACATGTTTTGACCATTTTTAGGCTATTTTGGACCAAAATGGCTACTTTAACTCCATATTTCTCCAAATTTCTACAGTAAAAGTTCCTGGTCTTTGGTACAGTGGTAGAGGGCAATGTTGAGGTCATGAATCCAGTGAAATTAGTCGCACACCTTTTTACAGTAAGAAGATACAGTAGATCAAAAATGACATGTTTTGACTATTTTGGAGGTATTTTGGACCAAAATGGCTACTTTAAATCCATATTTCTCCAAATTTCTACAGTAAAAGTTCCTGGTCTTTGGTACAGTGGTAGAGGGCAATGTTGAGGTCATGAATCCAGTGAAATTAGTCGCACACCTTTTTACAGTGAAAAGTTACAGTAGATCAAAAGTGACATGTTTTGACCATTTTTAGGCTATTTTGGACCCAAATGGCTACTTTAACTCCATATTTCTCCAAATTTCTACAGTAAAAGTTCCTGGTCTTTGGTACAGTGGTAGAGGGAAATGTTGAGGTCATGAATCCAGTGAAATTAGTCGCACACCTTTTTACAGTAAGAAGATACAGTAGATCAAAAATGACATGTTTTGACTATTTTGGAGGTATTTTGGACCAAAATGGCTTCTTTAAATCAGTATTTCTCAAAATTTCTACAGTAAATGTTTCTTGTCTTTGGTACAGTGGTAGAGGGCAATGTTGAGGTCATGAATCCAGTGAAATTAGTCTCACACCTTTTTACAGTAAAAAAGTTACAGTAGATCAAAGGTGGGAATTTTCTTAGTTTTGTGTATTTTGGACTAAAACGTGTAATTTGTCTCAATTTTACCCACAATTTCCAAAGTAAAGGTTTGTGGTTGTAGGCACAGCGGTGAAGGCAGTGGTGAGGTCATACACCCAGTGGAATAAGATACTCAAGTCTTTACTGTAAAAATGGACAGCAGCTGAAAATTTCACTTTTTGACCAAATTAAATGTCGAACATTTTAAGTTTTTACATGCTTTTCCAAATAAGGGTTTATTCACAAAACGAGTCTCCTAAGCGCGCTTTCTGTTCGAGGAGAAAAGCTGACAGCGAAAGGCTGTTCTGCTATTACCGTAAGCAGTCAACAAAACGCGCACTGCTTTTCTCTCGATGCGGGCCGTTTTACTTCGGAGGTGAAAGATGCGGCCCACTTTACCGCGGTTCTGAGTCTCATGGGAGCGAAGACGTATAACCTCCTCCGCAGCCTCATCGCACCAGCCAAACCCGCAGACAAAACTATTGAGGAGATTACAAGAACACTCAAAAATCATTTGAATCCAGCACCGCTAGTGATCGCGGAGCGCTTCAGATTCCATAAGAGAAACCAAGCAAAGACTGAGACAGTGTCAGAGTACATCGCAGATCTGCGGAGACTGGCGGAACATTGTCAGTTCGGAGAGGGACTATCTGACGCATTGAGAGACCGGTTCGTCTGTGGTCTGCATAACGAGAGTACGCAAAAACGCCTTTTAACAGAAGAAAGGCTCACCTTACGGCGTGCGGTGGATATCGTTGTGTCAGTGGAAACCGCAGCAAGAGACGCCACTGAACTACAAGGTAAACATCCCGCTGCATGCTCCGTGTACAAACTGCACTCAAAGCAGCGAAGTGTCAAATCAAAGCCTTGCTTCAGATGCGGTAAACAGTCACATGACCCAGCTGAATGTTGGTTTAAAGATAAAGATTGCAGACAATGCAACAAAAAAGGGCATATACAGAAAATGTGTAACGCGAAATACAGCAACAATAAAGGAAACTCTAGTGCAAAAAGGGGACAAAAACTTCATAAAGTAACGGAAACTGAGTCAGATAGCTCAAGTGAAGAGGAACTGTCTTGTCTTGGACTGTATGCCACTAAAGAGGATGACAGTGATATAATATGGTTGACACCGAAAGTCAATGGTGTGCTATTAAAAATGGAACTGGACACGGGATCAGCACTGTCACTAATATCCAAGAAAGATTACATTAAAAACTTTCCAGAAATGAAGTTGTCTCGCACAAATGTGAAACTTAAGACATACACAGGTGAAAGAGTTGAGCCTCTGGGAAAACTGAATGTTAAGGTGAAATATAAAAAGCAAACAAGTAACCTTGAACTGTTCGTTCTCAAAGAGGGAGGCGCGCCACTGTTCGGACGTCAATGGCTAAGACAAATTAAACTGAACTGGCCAGAAATAAAGACCATGAGCCTGGCTTCCAAACAACACAAAGAGAAACAACTCAGAAATATTAGACAACCACAGAGTAGTGTTCAGTGAGGGCATAGGGACCATGAAACACATTAAAGCGTGTCTAGACCTTCAAAAAGACACAAAACCAAAGTTTCACAAAGCTCGTCCAGTGCCATATGCACTACGTCCAAAGGTTGAAGCTGAGCTACAACATCTAATGGATCAGGGGATCTTAACGAAAGTGGATTGGTCTGAATGGGCAACACCAATCGTTCCAGTGGCCAAGAAGTCTTCAGAACGAGTTCGTATTTGTGGGGACTTCAAGGTAACCGTTAACCCGGTACTGCACGCAGACCATTATCCACTTCCCCGCATTGATGACATTTTTGCATCTCTAGCAAATGGTGAGCACTTCACAAAAATAGATCTTGCTCAGGCCTATCTGCAAATGGAGATGGATGAGAGTTCACGGAAGTACCTCACCATCAACACTCACAAGGGTTTGTACCAATACAACCGACTTGTATTTGGCATTACAAGTGCCCCAGCAATCTGGCAACGTGCAATGGACCAGGTGTTACAAGGGATCCCAGGTACACAATGTTACCTGGATGACATCATAGTCACTGGCCCAGACAAATATTCGCATTTAGCAAACTTAGATGCGGTTCTCAACAAACTTGAGGAATATGGACTTAAAGCAAATAAAAAGAAATGTGAGTTTTTCAAAGAATGTATTGAGTACTGTGGACACAAGATAGACAAGAATGGACTACACAAAACACAAGATAAAGTCGAGGCCGTAGTGAATTCTCCACAACCTGAAAATGTGAGTCAACTGCGATCCTTCCTTGGCCTTCTTAACTATTATCACAAGTTTTTGCCAAATTTGTCATCTGTGATCCACCCACTAAATGGTCTTCTCCATCAAAACGCTAAATGGAATTGGACTAATGACTGTGATGAAGCATTTAAAAATGCAAAAAGACTCATTATCTCAGACAAAGTTTTGACACACTTTGACCCAAAGTTGCCCCTGCAACTTGCCTGTGATGCTTCACCATACGGCATTGGTGCCGTTTTGTCACACAAAATGACTGACGGCTCAGAACGCCCCATTGCTTTTGCATCACGCTCTTTGTCACCGGCAGAGCGTAATTATGCACAAATAGACAGAGAAGCTCTAAGCTTAGTATGGGGAGTGAAAAAGTTTAACCAATATTTGTATGGAAAGCATTTTATTCTGATTACAGATCACCAGCCATTAGTCTCCATCTTCAATCCTCAGAAAAGTGTTCCAGCAATGGCAGCAGCTCGTCTACAGCGTTGGGCTCTCTTTCTGGGAGCTCACACATACACCATTGAATACAAGGGAACAAAGCAACATGGAAATGCAGATGGATTATCCCGCCTTCCTCAGCCAAACACAGGTAAAGGCACCGACCCTGCTTTAACCCTTCACATGCTGCAAATGGAACCTCTCCCAGTGACTAGTGCACAAATAAACAAAGAAACAAGAAATGACCCACTGCTATCTAAAGTGTATGACTTAACTGTAAGTGGTTGGCCCACTCATACAGACACTGAACTGTCAGATTACTTTACAAGGAAAGATCAACTCACTGTGTGCCACGGTTGTGTAATGTGGGGTTCACGTGTCATTGTACCACCCAAACTGCGCTCAAAAGTGCTTAGCTCACTGCATGATGGACACATGGGGGTTGTTAAAATGAAAAGCCTTGCTAGAAGTTATGTGTGGTGGCCTGGCCTTGATAACCAAATAGAGACTCTTGTGAAAACATGCACAGGTTGCCAACAAACCCAGCGACAACCTCAGCTTGCTCCTGTCCACACTTGGGAATGGACAACAGCTCCATGGCAACGCCTACATGTGGACTATGCTGGACCCTTTATGGAACACATGTTCCTTATTGTGGTTGATGCACACTCAAAATGGCCTGAAGTTTTTACAGTAAACAAGGCAACTACAACTAAAACAGTGGCCCAACTGTAAATGCTTTTTGCACGTACTGGTTACCCGCTTCAACTGGTCAGCGATAATGGAACACAGTTTACCAGTGAAGAGTTTCAAATGTTCCTGAAAAACAATGGAATAAAACACATCACTTCTGCTCCTCACCATCCAGCAACCAATGGACTGGCTGAGCGTTTCGTACAGACTTTTAAACAGTCCATGAAAGCAAGTAGGAAAGAGGAAGTGCCGCTGCAGCAGAAAATTGCCAACTTTCTACTGGCATACCGAAACACGCCACACACAACAACTGGACAATCACCTGCAATGTTGTTTATGGGAAGAAACTTAAGGTCTCGTTTGGATCTATTAAAACCTGACATCCGTCAACATGTTACAAACAAACAAAGTTCTTCCACTCAACAACAACGAAAACTACGATCATTTGATATTGGACAAAAAGTGCTGGCTAGAGACTATCGCAACCAAAGTGACAAGTGGCATCATGCTGAGATTTTGTCACAAACTGGACCACTCTCTTACACTGTAGGTGTGGAACCTAATGTCGTCTGGCGCAGACATATCGATCAACTTTTGGATGCATCACCTGGAAAAGACGCAAACCCAGCAGTGACACCAACTGTCCCAAGTCAAAAGGACAGTACATTACCACCAGACATGACAGTGGAAACCAACTCCACACCAGAAACTATTGACTGTCCCAGACCTGTCACAAACCTGTCTGATCCTCCAGGACGCAGATATCCTGAGAGGCACCGCAAACCACAGACTTGGTTCATAGACTAAAAGTGTTGTATAAACCAAGTGTTGTAACAAAACAAAAATGTTATGCATTTAAATGTGCATTTGTTATTGAAGTTGTTATTCAAGTTGTTATTCAAGTATTCAAGTAACCATTTATCTTACTTTTGATTTTTATTTGATAAGAGCATAAAAGCTGGAAGGGAGGAATTGTTATGTATTGATTACAACAGTAGGGACTACTTTCTCTTGAGTATACGCACAGCGCATATGTAATGAGCACGCGGGTAGCGTATTGATATCTTGTACTTTGATTGACACCTGTCAAGTAAAGACGTTACTGAAGTCACCGGAGTTTCTGTATGTTCTTCTAAAAAGTTATGTAAGAGACAAACATAACACATTCCTCAAGAAATTGTGTATGGCAATACAATATCTGCCTTTTCAAAAAAACTACTTGTTAAATTGTGCTTGAATGGCACTTAACCTGGAAGTTGAAGTATCTCAAATCCTCAAATGAATATCATATTTCTCTTGTTAAGCGTCTTATAGAATATATGTAAAAGCGCTACATAAAACCAATGTATCATCATTATTAATGACAGAAGCGAACTTTATGCAAGACCTAAATTCAATTCATCAAAGGTTTTGAGCAAACGCCACAAACGCCACAAAAACTTGGTTCAACTCTTACAAATGAGCTTTGGCTTCTGTGGAGCCCTTTCAGACTTCTAGAGCAAGCAGATGAATAAAACAAGGTTCCAGAAAGTTGCATTGGTTTTAGTAGATCATTGGAGCTCTTTCTTTTCGCAGCATCAAAGGCAGTGCGCCGCTTTGATGTGGCAGCATGCTGTTTAAGGTACAGACTGAATGGAGAGATGTCAAGCTGCAAGGTGCCTCTGTAGTTTACCATGAGTGCTGCACAGAACTCCAGATGAAAGGCCCAAACAGGGTTGGGTAATGAATGTCCAACAAGTAGGACCCATCTCAGACAGCATGTGCTCTGCGGGGGGCCTGGAGAGCAGCACCCATACCCCAGGCGTATCGCAGAGACTAGGCCCTTTGACTGGATGAACCCAGAATTGTAAGCATTTGTTTGTTTATTTTCTTTCACTGAAACATTAATTATTCTGTACAGGGCACAGAGGCAAACAGCAGCAAGGCACCACAATTGGAAACTTTGAAATAACTCATAATTAATAGCATAATTTAAATGTGATTGGCTTCTCACCCACTCAATTTCACATATGGATAAAGCATAAGACACCACGCAATTCTTCATGAGACAAATGTAAAGTTTAAAAGTCCCAAAATTACAGACCAATGCTGCCTTCTTCCTGAAGCACAGTCCAAGATCAGAACAGATGATGTTGTCATCATACAAGTATTTCATTTAAACAAAAGAAATCTAAGGAATATATGCAGAATTCAGGCTTCAAATATTGAAATAATAATAATAATGAAAACTAACCCTTTTCTAATTGGCAATAAGAATATGTGCGGAATAACCAAAAACATTTTTTATATTTTATTATGGATTTAAATGGTTTAAATATTTTGCAAATTAACAAAAAGATTTTATTGAGGTTGTATGTTAGAAAATGCATTTTAATGTAAGTATTTATGCATTCTGTTACTACATTGCAGTGTTCTCCCCAACACGTCTGTCCGTAATCTAATCTGCATGTTTGAGGCAGGTGCAAACACAGTACATTATTGTAAATGTGAGTAAAGCGTTGGATTGTTTTAATTCATTTTATTCTATTTTGTGTTTTAGCCATTGTAACACTCAACCCGTTTTCTACCATGAGTAATAACAACAGCATTTGCTTGACCGAAAAATTAAGTTTTATTTATTCAAGTTTAAGTTGGAGTATAGGGTCATAAAGAGTTTATTATAGTGTGCACATTGTGGGTTGACGGTATAACTTCCTTTCCTCGGTAAACTTGAGGCACCCTGCTGTGATTTGGATGACAGTGAGAGCTTTTGATGCCTTCATAGGAGGGATATATGCACCAAAAAGAGGAATAATGCTGTGAATAAAAGCTGTTAGAGCTGGATCTACACCCATGTGTTCTTTAAAATTGTATAATTTATTATTAACATATTACATAGTCTCATAGAGCAGTATTTTCACCCCTAATATTGGTCCGTTCCCACACACAAGCGAGAGCACGTCACGTCAGTAGCACAATGGTTCCATCTTGTGTTTGCTTAAGAGAATTACGAAATAGAGAATGAGAAACTTCAGAAACTTTAAATGAAAAATAAAATAAAAAACACACACACATTTGCCTACATAAGAACACACAACCACGGCAGACACATAAACATTTAGGTTATGGAAAAAAGTATTGCATCCTCATCCTTATTTCATTTTGGGTTCATGACCAAACTAAGGGTTTCAAACCGTACTTTACTTTGGATTTCAAAAATAGGACAAGTAGCCTAATGGAATGAGGAAGCTGGTATTGCAGCTTGAAGGGCACAGCACACAATAGCGAGCTCTACACATTAAGTACCCTAACATTCAAGTAAGTAAGGATATATTTTCATTTTATGTATACGTGCAACGAGCGTGCGTAATGGTGCGTAACTATGACTTTGTGCCCAATCGCTCTCCCAAATGATGACTTTATTTCGACTGCCGATACATGATTATATATCCTACCCTGTACTCTCCTGCTCTGTAATGATCTGACCAGTGGATGGAGTCTGCACAATTGGACCAGCACAATGTAAATATGTTGGCTGAGGCGCAGGAGTTTGTGCTGACAAGAAGAGCGGATATTGTGCGTGCGCTCTGCTGCAGCGGCTCCAGTGAACATTTAGAAAGCGTGCTGGATGTTCTCCTGTCGCGGGAGCAGTTGACATGGGAGGACCACCTGAATGTTCTGGTACCCGGGAGGCCCATCCATACCAGCACCAGGCGGCTGCTCGACCTGGTTTGCTGCAAGGGCGCGGAGATGTGTGCGCACTTGGTGACTGCGCTCAAACTGGTTTTGCCTGAATCCAAACTTGAGGAGGGTATAAGTGGCGTAAGTGAAGAGAGGGCAGGTGAATGTATGATACCTACGCGCAGCCTGGTGACGCAAAGGGCAAAGCTGGTGCTCGAGCTTAGGGACTCGCTGGGTGGGTTGTTGGATGTGCTGGTCACTACAGGACATTTTACATCTGCAGACGTGGAAGCGGTCAAACTCCCCATAAAGACACCGTCGCAGCAGGTATCCTTTCATTGCAACCTCTGTCATGATTAGTTATAGTTTTTATACTTGCACTTTTGATCACTGAGTTGCCATTTGATTTTCCAAGGTAAGGGCTTTGCTCGACCACGTGCAGGTCAAAGGAGAGTCTGCAGCAGAAGTGGTTTTACAGTACGCTCAGCAACAGCGGATATGCACCACACTTCGTAATGAAAGTGAACCGAGAGTGCCTGAAGGTATAAATAGCACTTCTTCTTTCTTTCTTTCGTTCGTTCTTTCTTTCTTTTTTAGAACATATTTGGGTATCTTCATAAATGCACATTTTGAAGTGAAGCATTTCGAAATAGATTAGTGGGTAATCTTCTTGAAGTTGTTTCGTTTTTTCGCAACAGTGGGAGGTGCTTTTTCTAATGTGTTTGTAATGTGATGAAACAAATAGGTGTAGAGTTGAATAACTCACTTGTATGTCTCATTGTTTAAATTCAATTTTATAGCGCTTTGGCCATCTTGACGAGCTAAAATGACCTAATAAAAATGAATATACATTACAAAGCAATCCCTATAAAGCCAGACACCATTGTTACTTGTGTTTAGCCTTGTCTCTTTTGTCTTTCACGATCTATTCTTATCCCCAGAGGTTTACAGATACCAGAAAAAGCTGAGCAGTTCTGTTTTGGCCCAGTCCTCATTTGTTGACACATATGGGGGACGCAGTGTCATGTGTTTGGATGACATCTACACGGAGGGTCAGCTGGAGCTTCCACCTGACAAGAGTGAGACCAGTCCAGGGCATCTGAGCCTAGAGGACATCGTCGGTGTGGTGGGCACCAGGAACACCGAGGCTGACACTGTGCTATTGTCTGGAGATGCAGGCAGTGGGAAGAGCATTCTACTCCAGAGGATGCACCTGCTTTGGGCACGAGGAACAGCCTTACAAGAATTTATTCTGCTGTTCCCATTCAGCTGTCGGATGTTAAATTCAGAACAAAAGGAATTGTCTGTTGTGGACTTACTATTTCATCACTGCTGTTGGCCTGACCAAGACAAAGATAAGATTTTTCAATTTATTTTAGACCATCCCCATCTAGTCCTCTTTACGTTTGATGGCTTAGACGAACTCAAGGATCCTTTTTCAGATGAACATAGACTTTGCTGCCCAACCCAGCGTGCGCCAATCTCCATAGTTTTGTTTAATTTACTCCAGGGATGCTTAATGAAAGGAGTGCGCAAAATAGTGAGCAGTCGATCTCAAGCTGGCACTCCAGCTTTGAAAAAGCACCTGCGGAAAGAGGTGATTCTGAAAGGTTTTTCTCCCAGTAACATTGTCTCCTTTGTGAGGAAACACCACAATAATCCAACAGTGGCAGAAAAAGTGTTAGAGTCCTTAAAAACCAACAGAGCTTTGCTCGGTCTGTGCCATAGTCCAGTCCTGTGCTGGATCATCTCCCACTGTCATAGAAAGATACTGAACAGTCAGGAGAAAAGTCCAAAGACGATTACACATGCCTATTTGATGATTCTACAGCATTTTTTCCAACGACAAAGCTCAGCAAGCAGAACTGATGATTTAAATTGGATAGAGCATCACTACACAACTATCCTGCATTTGGGACAACTCGCCTTTGAAGGAATAAACGGTTCTGTTTACATATTCACTCAAGCAGAGCTGAACAGATGTCAGGTCAGAGAAACAGAGGTTAGAAGTGGTTTTCTCATACATAGTAAAGGCATGTCCTCAAACCACATTAAGACGTTTGAGTTTCTGCATGTTACCATACAGTGTTTTTTTGCAGCTGCTTTTCTTGTTTTTTCGACTAACATTGAGCCCAGCACCATACCCAGGCTCTTCCAAAGTCCTGACACAAAGATGACGCCTCTTGGTCCCACATGTTTTAATGCTTGTTTATCCAGTTCAGTTCAACAGCAACAATTTAGAGACGACAGAGACACAGAAGCAAAACACCACAATTTACAGATAACAGCCATGTTTCTGTGTGGATTACTGTATCAAAGCCACCAGTGTCTGTGGTCACAATGCTACTTTAACGGCAATATTGAGAAAAGAACTAAACAGGTGGCCAAATATTTGTCTAACGCTTTACATACACATTTCAAATCTATTCCCCAACCAGTTCAAGGAGAAAAGAAAAGTATGCATGCAATGCCAGACTTTGTGTGGCTCATCAAATGTATCCATGAGATGCAGGAGAGCACAGTGGCTAAATATGCGATGAGAAAGATGGACGTCCAGCACCTTAAACTGGTTTACTGCAACATTGGTCCAGTGGAGTGCACAGCTCTGGCCTTTGTCTTGCAGCACTTGAAAAACCCTGTGGGCCTCCAGCTCGATCATAACTATGTTGGGGATGTTGGTGTGGAGCAACTCCTTCCCTGTCTGCACATGTGTCAATCGCTGTAGTAAGTTTTGATTGTTTTAATATTAAAGCTTAAGAAACATTTTGTGATCTGAGAAAGTATAGATTTAATACTTGTGCACTTATCTCATCTTTTCTGCAGCCTCAGACACAATAACATATCAGATGAGGGCATTTGCAAAGTGATCATGAAAGGAATCCTTTGTGAGAATTTCCAAAAAATAGCGTAAGTATTACAAGAAAATTTGCATCTGTGCAGTAAACTCTAAAACTATAATAATCTTTACAGGCTTTTTAACAATAACCTCACGGATAAGTGCATGAAAAGCTTTTCGGAGCTGCTGAAAAGGAAGACAAATTTCCTTTCACTGAGGTTTGCTTTCAAGAACCACAAAAACACTCTTTTTAGTATTACTCGTTAATTTTAATGTTCTCAGGCTTGGGAACAATAACATCACTGCAGAGGGAGCAAAACAATTGGCAGAAGGCTTGGGACAGAATCATTCACTGCAGTATTTAGGGTAGACCTATTATGAAGTATTATCCAACAGTATAAATGAGATTTTTGCTGTGAGATTTAAACATGCATGTTTTATTATCCCCAGACTTTGGGGAAATACAATTGGTGATACAGGCGCAAGAGCGCTTGCATGTGCATTAGAAAACAGCAAATGCCTGGTGTGGCTCAGGTAAATATACAGAGGTATGATTGTGGGGGACATTTTTGTAGCTTAAAATAAACCTTTATTGTTGTAAGTTTGGTAGGTAATAGTGTTGGCAGTGCTGGAGCATGTGCTCTTGCCAATGTCATTAAGAATTGTCCTTCATTGGAAGAGCTTTGGTAAGTCTGTGTAACCACAATATACTGATGTGTAGTTCAACGGCATCTTAATCACATGTGTCCTGCTGAAGGCTGACCGACAACTGCATAACTCTCTCAGGTGCAGAGAGCCTCACTGAAGCTTTACAACATAACCCCAGAATGAAGTCTGTATGGTATGTGCTGCACCTGTTCATTGTGTGGCTTGATGATTCATAATGTCTTTATAATTATTTTCTCTGTGACAGGTTAAGAAACAATCATCTCAGTGAGAAGGATAAAGAGCAGTTAGCAAAACAGGAGCCCAGGCTGCTGTTCTGAAAGCTTATAAGCTCTGTATAATTATTTGTTTTAGTTCCTAATTTTCACAATAAATTGTATACCACAAGCATTCTTTTCTATTTTCACCAATTTATATAATTTCAGACTTCAAAAATTAAACTCAGTTAATAAATCCACTGAAGTGACCCTAATATTCGGAGTGGAGGCACAAGTTTAGGACTATGCAGCCCTCAGCTGCTGAGTGGAGAGCATGGTGGAGAGAGCCTCATTTCCTTACTGCTCTGCTCTGCAACCTAACATAGTGCTGCTGTCAATGGGAAACCCCCTAACACTCAGAATACATTTTCATCCAATCAGCGGAGCCCACATGCGGATCTGACCAATGGGCGAGCAGAACGCCGATGACACTATACTTCAGCATTGTGAGGTCGTCTTCTGTAAATAATACATATCTAAACCAGTATATGTACAGCTGCCTCAGCTTTCCGATGGAAATGTCGATATCTACAGACTGACAACAGAGTGAAGAGCGTGGCACTAGTCTGCCATCCACTACGGCTCCGGAGATGAGTGAACAGGCTACAACGTGATGTTTACTTCATTCCATTCAATGCCTCCGCTGCACTGAGAGCTAGCATCAGCAGCTAGCTCTGAGCTAACCTGAAGATACAGCATTGCAGCCTTTTTCCAAACCATAAACATATACAGCCTGCACTCTTGAGATGGCAGTGAGTTGATCATTCTAAACAAGCAGTTCTACGCCTCAGGTAAGGCGTACTCCCGCTTACACATGACAGTACATGTTTATTACGTGAATATTAGCTTGCGGCATTTTAGCCACTTGGCTCCCAACAGCTGACAGCTCCTAGTCTTGTCCAGTTTTAATGGAGCTGACGACAGCTTTTATGCCATGTAATGTTTTCCAGATATTACCTGTTTGCATACAACATGCCTTCGCACTGTGCATGTGATGCGCTGAGGTGTTAGGGGAAGTCCAATCCATTACGCTGCTATTACGATGGCCTTTGTAGCCCAGTGTTCCAAGAAATCTGTTTCAATACACAATAAACAATTATGAATAGTGCATACAAAATTCATACATGGATATTTCAATACATTAGATTCTTCAACATTTTCTAATGAAGGCTTAATTTTCCTGAAAATGTTACCAGATTGTGTTGACTTTATTAACTTGTTTTAACAATTAAAAAACGTCACCGTTTTGAATTTATAATGTCAACATGGCATGTTTAACGTAAATGTACTATACAATTACATTTACATGGGAAATGTTGAATTTATACTATAATAACCAAACTAGGGGCGACAGTGGCCCAGTTAGTAGAGCATTGGCCTGTGGGCCTGGAGATTGTGGGTTCGAGCCCACTGTAAGACCTACTTTACTACTCCCACTGATGTCTGCTGTCGTTGTGTCCTTGGGCAAGACACTTAACCCCACTTAGCCTGAAGCCCCCACTGAAAGATCTCAGCTCCTGTGGACTCACCACCTGCAGGAGGATCAGTGAGGAACTGGTGCTATGTGTACTGGTTGCAGCTCTGACTGCAGAGCTGCAACCCCCCCCCGACCCAGAAATGGATTAAGGGGGAGAAAATGGATGGATATTCAAACTTTTTTGCTAACCCTGATTTGCCAAATACACTTTCCACTTTGGTTCTTGTTATCTCCAGACCAGATTTCAGTTTTAATAATATGAATTTCAATTGCCAAGTTGCAAACTAATTTTTTTTTTTTTTTTTTTGACAGCACTACATTCAACACAGCTTGCCTTGATGTGCTGCTCACTGTTTATTGGGCAGCCATGAGCTCTGCCTTGTGGAGCCAGGAGAAGTCCAGTGGGGGCTTCAGGGAGGACTGGCGCTTCTACATGGTAATCAAAGAGTGTACAGTGGAGAAGCCTCCCCAAAAGACCTTGAGGATTCCTCGTGGAAGTCTTGGCCAGGCATGCCAGGAACGTAATAGCCTGGGACGCACATTGCCACCCTGCAAGGGAAAAAAAAGTTTGCGCATACTTGACCAAACCAATGTAGTGCTTAGTCTTGATGAACGGGATGTCCTAGAACTCGATGAGAAACTGGCAGAGCTTCTCTTCCCCATCACTAACTGCGAGGAGCGCTACAGTCTACGCTGCAATAAGTCACGACTGGAGCGTGTGCGGGACATTGACTGTGGCTCCAAGGTTCGCGTCCTACTCCGGTCAGGGGATGAGCCTCTGCCTGGTGTGGTCCGGTTTAAGGGCTCTCTGCTGCCAGACCGGGCTCTTTCTGGGATCTGGTTTGGAGTGGAACTACTGGTGAGTGCCTTATTCTTCACCTTTGGCCAAGTAGGATTTGTTTGCGTTTTGCCCTTTTCCCTGTGTGTCATCATATAGTATATAAGAATTATATTATTCTTTAATATACAATGATAATTTGTATTGGCAGTCAATTTTTTGAGAATGAAAATAGTAGTGAGTTTTTAATTTCCTGTTTTCTTCTTTTAGGAGGAAGGCAGAGGACAAGGATTCACAGAGGGTTCCTATCAGGGCCGCCAGCTTTTCCGCTGTGAAGACGAGTGTGGGGTGTTTGTAGCTTTAGACAAACTTGAACTTTGGGAGGAGGATGATGAAGACGCTCTGGGAGAGCTGGATGTGGAACATGTCAGCCTGGTAGATGATGATCAGGACTATCCTCCACTTCCACCACTAGAGATCAACTCTAGGGTCTTAGTGCAGACCAGAGGTGGCCCAGAGAGGGGGACTATAATATTTTGCGATCTGCTGCCCGGAAATGAGAGCTTGGGCTACTATGTGGGTGTCGACATGGTGAGTATGTCTGTTTACAGAGACCATACAGAATAGCATGGAATCTTCACAGCATATAGTGCTTCTAATTTTTCTTTTCATTTTTAGATAAATGTTTTCCAGTATATACATGTATTTGCATAGAGCTATTAGAGGTTACAAAATATGACCTAGGTGATTATTTAATACATTGGAAGGTGCACATGTGATAGGCAGTGATACAATTGTAGTCTTTCCCCCATAACTATTCAAGTATGTGTATGAAGCAGAGGACACAGCTTATCATGTGTTTAATGGAAACTAGATGACTGTGAATATTATGAGTGTGACATCACATTACTACGGTCTGAAATCTCTGTAGAGTCTATTGATTGTAAGTTTATCACTTACAGTAACTTTCTGTTTAAGTTGTTATGCAATGAGTTTGTAGACCCATATAGGGAGATAAAATCTCTAAAATAATTGTTAAGAGTATGTATTTTTGACCACCAGTCCCTGGTTTCTTCAATTGGGAAAAAATAAGTTTTGTGGAGATGTGAGCGCCCCAAACACTGAAACTTAATGAGGACTGTTGTATTTTTCTCTGAAGTGAACCGAGTTACCTAAACCAGTAAGTGTGACTGTGCCCTGCATCAGATACTGATATGATTATGTGAATGACTTTATTAGTACCTGACTGTGTTTGTCCCACTGAAAAAAAAGTGGAATAAAGACTGAAACACATGCAGTTAAAGGAATAACTGATTCATTTACTTTTCAAGTGAAGTATATCTCACTTACTTATGGAAAGGGGATAACACTGCTTAAAACTTTTCAAAACTGACCTAAAACTTAACAGACAGAATCTCCATGGAGTTAGGTGTGAGGTGTCATGTCTTCTATGACAGATCTGTTACTGCATAGGTAAAATATGGATAACTCTACTACACTATAATGTCCATCATAAAACCTGCATCTGTAGTGTCATAGGTTTTGTTTTGGTCTAACCTGAAATTTGATATAAAAATTTTTGCTAATATTTTGATTTCTAATGATGGGCGCACATTCCATGCTGACAGAGAATTTCAAACTAAACAGTAGAATACTAATTTCTACTCGCAGCAGCAGCAGCATCATCCCACTCGGTGTATCTGAGCCACCCACACAAAGACAAAGCAGTCACGAGGGCAGTGAAGTAAGTGCTCTATGACCCAACAGCATGGCCGGGGGCCAACAAGCAGCTGAAGAGAGCCCACTGCGCTGAATTGCTGTGCGTCCAACCTCGCCCTGCTTTCTCCAGTGACTAGAAGCTGTCACATTAGCCCACAAGATTTCACACTAAATGAGAGAAAAGCATGGTTGTGTTGCTGCTGCGGAGGAGGAGAGGAGTAAACAAAAGTGTGCTATAGTAATAAGATCAAAACAGATTCTGTGACTGCAACAAAGATGAGGTAGTTTGGAAAAGGGGATGAAAAGAAGAGACTGCCACCTCACCATGTGCTCATTCTTTCAGGACAATCCTATTGGCGACTGGGACGGTGTGTTTGATGGAAAGCTGCTATGTAATTTTGCCAGTTTGGAGCATACAAAACTAGTTCCCATATGTGACGTTATGCCAGGTGAGTCTTCTACTACACCGTGCCAATTCCTCTCTTGTTGCAGAACATGTGAAGCTTATTTCTCGAACTGTTCTCTCTTCATCAGCATTCTGAGTTTGTGTTTTGCCTGCAGCAGAAACAAAGAGTCTTTTGTTTACACTTGTTTGTTAAATAGTTCTGGCTCTGTCTTATTCACCATAGCATAATGAATAATTTGCTATACATTCTGATCAACCTACTATATTAGATAATTCATGCTTTTATATCTATTTAATATTGACAGTTTTAGCTCTTAGCTTTTTGTTGTTCAATTTAGTTGGGCTGATAGAAGAAATCTGCTATTGTTGTGCAAACGGTTCAAAGTCTTGTCCTTTCTCTGTAGAATATTCCATGCAAGACCAAAGGCTGCCAAAGCACAGTTTTCCCACCAGGGGCACCAACAATGACAAATCTGGCCAAAACAAACCAAAGAGTAAAGGTATTTCTATTCAAGTCTTTGTTAAAAGGGAATTCAGCTCAAACATACTTAATATGTTGACCAACATTTGAATTATGGATTTCTTCCTAATTTGAATGTTTTTATTTTTCTCCTAACTCCTCCGACTTATTCTTCCTTTGGCCACTGCTGATTTGTCACACTTTGCCCGTCTTCTTGTGTGTTGCTGTACTTGTGTGATTTACAGGTTTAGGTCACCAGTGTGGCAGTAGAAGCAAGTCTGACTTTTACTATACTTTAAATGGCAGCTCTGTCGATCCTCCCCCTCAGTCCAAATCCAAAAGCACATGGTACATTGATGAAGGTAAAACATGGGTCTTGTGGATTGTTGGTCATCTTCCCGACAAGCTCCTGTGTACAAGATGCCACATGGAAAACACAACGTACCACTTTCATAAACAGATTTAATAGATGCAAACAATACAATATATCAAACGGATACTTCTGTACTACATTTTAGGCAGCAGCTTACACTAGGGCTCTCTAACCCTTATAGGTTGTATGCAGGACAGATTGAATGCTTGAGACTTGTATATCCTATTATCATGAACTGGTATTATGCTATTATAACCAAAAGAAGAGGCTTATTAATGAAAAAAAAAGGAATGAAATGATTATTGCAGCCAATCAGCAAATGTGTTTGTAACAGCAGCTTGTTCAGAAGAGTTGTCCACCAGTTTCGTCCTTCATCCTATTTGATGTCAAATGCCATGTGCATGTGTTCTGTGTTTTCTAAAGGCTTTTAATAATGTTGACAGCACTCTTTCCTATTCTGGACTCCGGCACTATGTATTTAGAAAAAATGTCATTGTAGGACTGACACATTGGTAAAAGCCTCTCATATTATTGGGATCCTTCTTAATATTTTTTCCATTTGGTGTTGATCAATTTGTGTGGTGCATGGCATAAAACCTCCAATGTTTTCATTCTCCTTGTGATTGTTCTACTATTCTTTATATTTTTATCCATTTATTTTTGTTAATGGTAATGCAAAAAAAAAGTCTTACTCCATTTTTAAATAAAGAAATGTACAAAATAGATGGCTAAACTGGCACCAAAAATACACTACTAGCAGTACTACTATTAATAATATCTATAATAACAATATTATTAGATGCAAAGGTGACAACAGCGGCGACGGAAACAACAGCGAGGCTAACAAACTGCACAACACACACCTACATATACATACAGGCACGTACAGGCGCACAAAGGCACACCCACAGCCTACACAAGAGGAGAAGAAGAGGACGAATAGACATTTTGAAATGAGGCCTATGCTGTGTGTTGAATTAAAAAATCCATATTGGATGGTGCAGCTGCCGAAAGATGTGTAACCTCTCACAGCTGCCTGGCTCCAGCTCGTCCTGCTCTTGTGGTTGATAGTGTGATGCCCTAAAATAGGTGATGGAATTAAAAAGACAGTAGTTAGTGGAAATCCAGAGGTGTCTTCTCCTGACACTTCCTCCACTCCTGCTTACCCAGAACTGAAGAGGACATATGTATTTATGTTGATCCCTATGCTGTGTGGTGTATTAAAAAAGCAGGTTTGTGTGGGCATCTAAGAGATGCGACCTCCAAATCCAAATCATGTAAGAAAGCAAAGGCCATTATCAATCAACTAATCAATCAATCAATCAATCAAAATGTCTCCAAACAAAATAATATATATATAAATGGATATTTTCACCAGGCTGCAACTGTACTTTACTGAAATGTCTTCCCTCTCATTAGTCAATATTAGTAATGCAATCACCTGATGTTGCAGAAAAGTCACAAATTAGCACCTGGGATCTTTACAACATCTCATCGTCATTGAGAGAACTTGTGTCATGGCATGACCCATTCACAGAAACACTGTTCAACATCTCATTCATTACTGTGTATATCTTTGTTTTCCTTTCAGTTGGAGAGGACCCTGCCAAGTCGCTCACTGAAACCCCCCCTGACTTTAACCAGGCTTCTCCACCTTCCCGTGCACCACCTTCAGCCTCTCTGTCCAGCGATAACAAGTTCCACTCCCTGCCCTTTAGCTTGAATAGAAAGACCGGGCCCAACGACAGCATAAGCCATGGGCCGCTGTCTCTGTCTGTCCAGTCTGTGATGGGGGAGCAGCTTGAGGCCTTGTCACCTGCTGCACCGTCCTCACCCCGGCCTCCCTCACCGCCTCATGGACAACCGGGATTGGAGGTGGGCTCTCTGGTGGAAGTGAAGGAAAATCCCCCTCTTTGTGGGGTCATCCGCTGGGTGGGACTGCCCCCTGGACTGTTGGAGCCACTGGCTGGACTAGAATTGGTGAGCTGTTAATGTTGTGTGAGCGGATTTAGGCCAAATTCATGATAAAAATACTTATACTTATTTTGGGAGAGTGCAGAGAATACAAAAATTTTGAATCAATAAACTTGATCTCGTCCAAAGGTTTTTAACCCAGATCTGGAATACCCCACCAACAGCATTAAAGCTGAGGTACCAGCTTTCAAAACCCAAAATTAACTACGTAATTAACTCCATCTCAAAACTTTTTTGGTTCTAGTTTTCACATCATGCATGCTCATCTTTAGATCAGCTTTCCAGACAGAAAAGTGAAAAAGAGAGGACCACCCTGGCTCGGCTCTTTCTTCCAATAAAAAAAGGGAAGATTTTTCCAATAATATGAAGACAGCATTTTGTGTTCTTATTGGTTCAAAACATTTTAACTCTAACTAGACTCTTTCTTTTGGGGTAATCTTAATATATTATTTAGGAGCTTTAAATCTTTCTAAAGTGGACCAGGTGATTATGGGTACTTGACATGGTTTCATCTTAATGTTCTAGGAAGACGAATGCCCCGGTTGCACTGATGGAACCTTCAAAGGTACTCGTTACTTTACTTGCCCACCAAAAAAAGCCCTCTTTGTAAAGCTCAAGTGCTGTCGACCCGACTCCCGCTTCCCTTCCTTACACCATTCCTCCAACCCCATAGAGAGATGCAACTCCATTGGTAAGTTGTAGACACGAGGAAGGGGTTTTAAGTCAATCCGAGTTCACGGTGTAATTTTAAACATGTCATCATGAATTTGCAGCTTTTGGGGGTTACTTAAGTGAAGTCGTGCATGAAAACACCCCACCCCGGACAGAGAACGATGGTCTCGATGTTATGGTGGGGAAAAAGAAGGGTATACAAGGCCACTACAACTCCTGCTACCTTGATTCTACTCTGTTTTGGTCAGTATATCGTTTATGCTCTAATAGTTTTACAACGGAAGCATACTGGAACGTGACCACCTTTCTTTCCGGTACTTTGTCGTTGCAGTCTTTTTGCCTTTAGCTCTGTACTAGATACGGTTTTGTTAAGACCACGTTCTAAGACAGATGTGGAGTATTACAGAGAGACACAGGAACTGCTGCGCACAGAGATCGTGAATCCCTTGCGGATGTAAGTATTTATCACTTCAAACATGGACAGTGGCTGGAGCTCACCTTCATTTGGCCCCTCAGACACGGATATGTGTGTGCCACCAAAATCATGAAGCTACGGAGGATCCTGGAGAAGGTGGAGGCGGCATCTGGTTTTACTTCAGAAGAGAAAGGTGAAATACTTTTCTACAAAACCATCCTATCATGTCTGTGTTTCTGAGTCATTTATCTTCTGTTGCAGACCCAGAGGAGTTTTTAAATATTCTCTTTCATCACATTCTCAGAGTGGATCCTTTGCTCAAGCTAAGGTAAAGTGGTGGAACAAATGCAATTCATATTTTGTCAAGTGTTTTGAAACTTAAACAGTTCTTTAATGCTTTCATACTAAAAATTAAAAGTATAAAAACAAATTTGTGGCTCAATAAAGATTCACAATTAACAACGCACACACACATACAGGCAACGATTACTTGTGTGGTGCTACTGCTAGGTAGAAAGAGACTGGCAAGCCATATAAGAGATTTATGTGATGCCAATTCTGCTTTCTGTTTAAATAATTAACTTGAGAACCACAATATAAATGTTAAGAATTTGTGTGTTCATCCTTTCCATTGTTTTGGTAATTCCCATTCAATCTGCAAGAATAATGTTGATCAGAAAAGGCATGATGTGATTGTGGACACAGAATAGCTGCAATTTATGTGAGTAGATGTTTTCTTAAATGTGTCTCTTTACAGGTCTGCTGGTCAAAAGGTTCAAGACTGTTATTTTTATCAGATTTTTATGGACAAAAAAGACAAAGTTGGTGTTCCTACTATTCAGCAGCTCCTCGAGTGGTCTTTCATTAACAGTGACCTCAAGTTTGCAGAGGTAAAAGCAATATGTTTTGGACTGCTACTACCCCTATGTATGTTACTGGTAGTTACTATAGAATAAAACAGTTACTATCTTTTGCTCCTCTGGTGATGTCATGACTTTTAACAGAGTCTGTTTGTTCACCCACCAGGCTCCTTCCTGCCTTATCATCCAGATGCCCCGTTTTGGCAAAGACTTCAAAATGTTCAACAAGATTTTCCCCTCCCTGGAGTTGGACATCACAGACCTACTTGACGACAGTGAGTTGTGCCCATTATTTGGTTCCACGGTGCTGGAGTGTTCTTGTAGATCAATAGAGAGGCAAAGCTCAGTTGTCATTTGGTAATGGAATTCCTCTGAGTTGTGCCTGTAACTCTGCCAAGATAAAGGTGCCCTCCTTCTCTCTTTAGAGCCGTGATCCTTTTGCTTTTTCAAGTGCTACACATTTCACACTGTCATTTGTTCTGTTATCCAGCTCCAAGAGAATGTCGAATCTGCGGCGGCTTGGCTCTGTACGAGTGTCGAGACTGCTACGAGGATGGAGATATCACGGCTGGCAAGATAAAACAGTTTTGTGAGAAATGCAATACACAGGTAACCAAAAGAGGGCACTAGTGTTGCAGTTTTCAATTAAACCATTGGTCGGCATCAACATTGTCCATTTGGGGGCACCCTACATCCAGAAATGCAGCCAGATCTCTTCAAATGAGAGCTGTCAAACATTTAATCCTATATTATATTTGTAGTTGTCTTTTTGTGACAGTTTTATAATTTTTATTATATAATATACATTGCTCTCATTTGTTTTGGGTTGTATACACATTTTTGTTGCAGGTTCATCTCCACCCAAAGAGAAAAGCACATCGACATGGTAAACTTTCTGTCCCAAAGGAGCTCCAAGAGGGAATGGGTCGACAGGGGAGCTTCCCCCGACAGAGGATGGAACTGTTTGCTGTGCTTTGTATAGAAACCAGTCACTATGTGGCCTTTGTCAAATATGGGAATGCAGACTCAGCCTGGCTCTTCTTTGATAGCATGGCTGACCGAGATGGTAAGCACCTTTTGCTTACAATATTACCATTTATGTGTTCATTTTGAAATGTATTTATATTGTATTACTAATAATAATCCCACCCCAATTAATCGCTGCATTAATAGCTGTAGTAGAGGAATCATGAATAAACACTGACTTGAGTCCTAATGTGTCATGTGTACATGTGTCTGTTCAGGAGGACAGAATGGGTTTAACATACCGCAGGTGTCTCCATGTCCAGAGGTCGAAGCCTACCTTAAAATGAGTCCAGAAGAACTACACGCTCTGGACCCAAAGAGCATCCAAGGGCAGGCGCGCCGCCTCCTGTGTGATGCTTACATGTGCATGTACCAGAGCCCCACCATGAGCCTCTACAAGTAGAGCCGTCTGTAAGCTTCAGTTACTCCGTATACTTACACACAAACTGGGACTAAAGACTAACCAGGCAGCCAGCTCTCGGGGGTTCAGCCCTCACTCGCCCACTGCGGTGATGAAGATGAAGATCCTCTTTGCACTGTGCAATAGTTAAATGTTGTGTTTTTCATGTCGTCCCATGTAGCTTTCTGCCTGTATAATACTGACACAAGCCTTACAAAAAATATTTTGAGCGTATTAGGGTTTCATTGCACAATGATGACACAATTTCAACAAAGCCAAGACATGGTGTGAATATTCAGCCTATATAAATCTTGAGTAGCATTTACACATCCAGGTCAGAACCCATCAGAAATAGATGTCAACCCAGTGAACGCCGCTTTAGGACCAGAGTATTCATGTGTCCATTTGTCCATTACTGTGTAAATGTCATTATTAGCCCAAACAGTCAGACATGATTCAAGTGTCATGTTTTTCTGCATTATTTGTTCCAACAATGCTGCACTTTTGCTCTTTTCTTAAGTGGACCTATCAGGAAACATTTAGCTTGTGCGTTCTGCTCCACCATTAGAAGTCACAGTGAGTGCTAGTTTGTTAGTTGGGAGCATACGAGTTTTGTCTTACAGAATACAAATTTGCGTTTCCTCTTAAGCCCTGAAGAATCGCCTGCATTGCTGATGCAGAGTAGATGCCAGATAAATTCATGAAGGGAGACTTGTACAATGGCTCCTATTGTAACGCTGCCTGAGTGAGCCCTCCTCCGTGCATTCATATGACAAGACTGGAAAGTCTGGCTGTTTTTCTTTAAGTGTGTTGTGCAAATTACACTTGCAGTTTTTCATTTGTAAGGTTTTATCATTACGCAGTGTAGACTAATTTATATTTGCTATTTTCCAAGCGTAGGAATATCTAAACATGGAAATCGTTTTAAAAATACCTATGAACATTTATGAACAATAAATGAGAAAGTTTGCTTTTTTTTTAGCTACTACTAATAAATATATTATTTATTTTAAATCTGAGAACCAACTTGTCTCCCTTGGTTGAAACAGGGTCAGTACTAGGTTGGGTGCACCTTTTTCCTCTTTAACTGTATTTTGAAGTGAAATATTGTAGTTTAAGCTGTCTTAATAGCAACTACTGAATGTTAATAATGACACGATGAAAAACACAATGGATTAAAGAGGTATCAGGGTGCGAAGCTTTGAGACTGTAAACTGTATATTTGCATGTATTTAAGAACAAAATCATTTTAATACGTCATTTTAATGTATGTACTTTCACCTGCTGCAAATCATTTATTGTCCAGATCATAGCATTTGCAAACTACAGCATTAGGAGAAATTACAGCATACACTTGTTGAAATCCTTATTTTCGTAAATCATAGAAGAATTATAAAGTATGATACTTCAACAGTAGGATCCCTATTCAATGTTGCATTAGCTGATTCTGACCGAGGGATCCGAAAGGCCTTTTTGTGTAAACTGAGCTGTTGATGATCTCTGACTGAAGCACGTGCAGAGAGTTTGGCTCCTCTGTGGGATCTGGATTGCAGACGTGATGGGTGGAAATAAATGTCAGTAATGTTCCTGTCAGTAAATCTGTTGAAATAAAGCCCATTTGTCAGTAAATCTGTTGAAATAAAGCCCATTTTTCAGGCCATGATATGAGTGTTGTACTTTTGATTACATTTTGATAATGACAAATGGTGGTGCAAAAATATTATATTGTTATGTGATATTATAATATATGTCATAGAATGTTAGTATTGTTCTGTTCCCAGTCCCCAGCTTTGGAGTTCCTCCGACTACACTCTCAGCACGCCACTCTTCAAACCCAGTTTAAAACACACTTATTCAGATGTGCCTAGCTTTAAAGTTGAACTGACCTGCAAGACGCCATACAAATAAACTTTAATGGATATAAAAATTGTTACAGGAATAGTATACAGCTTAGACTGGTGCAGATTTGTATTTGTGCATTTGTTATGTTGTTTCTGGAAAGATTACAGTTATCTTATGGGATTATTCTGATCAGCGTCAGAAGCAGCGATCATCCTTTCACTTGTAAGCATATCTTACAAAAATACCCTTCCTGTTTGTTGTTCCCACATAAGGATGCTTAGCAGTGGTTATCCTCCTTGAGCACTTGGTTTGGTGGTGGATGTGGCCTATATGAGGTGATTAAGCTCAGGACATGTAATGACCCAGTTTGGCAGGAGCTGTGATAAAACGATACCCGGAGATAATGCAGCATGTATAATACATGCACCCCCCACAGGAGCTGTGTCCCACACCTCCGTTTAGTTTTTAGTCAAACTTGAAACCAGCTCAGCAAGCTGACTTCAGAAGTGCCTGATAAGTATTTGTCAACACAACAGCTGGCACACAATGCCCTCTTGTAGCTTTATGCCACAGCATATGCCAGCCGCTCGTAGCGCGTGGTAATTTAGCCTGAGCTGGTTCTACATGAGCAGATGGGCTCAAGTATTGTTATTCTGGCTCCTGCCAGGGCCCCTGGGGGGAATCACTAAATAAAATCAAAGCAGATGGACCTCTCTGGGCTAGGCAGTGTTTATGATAAACAGCCAGTACAACCAGTGACCATCCAACACCTTAACCCCACCTTTAGACACTCTTAACAGGAAGCACAATGACAACATTTGAACCTCATTTAGCTGAGATCAAAACACTGGGCAAATCCAAGTCACTCCAAATTAGTCACTAATGTGACCTTTAAGAAAAATTGAGATATAATCTCCCAAAATCCTTATTTTGACCATACATCAAAACAAAACACTTGCAAAAATCTTGAGTATCAAAAATAATGCATTTTGTACTTTGCACTTTTTTGGCCATGATTATCTTTTTTGGCCATGATTATTTGCATCAGTCCTCCATTAGAATATTAAGTCCCGCTATGTTTTAAATATATTTTATTTCATGCAGTAAATTGCATATTTATAGTGGTGACATAGTGACTATCAGAGAGATACAGCAGATTCTGCATTGAGCCATAGACTTGCTTTGATTCCCATGGGAAAGACCCATGTAAACACAAGAGTTGTATCAGTGCTAAGGAACAGTGACTGCTCAGAGCCCTCCAGAACAGGAAACAAGAGACCACCTCTGCAGATGAAGAAGAATGAGACATGACGTTTATTTATTTCTTTTAACTAATCAATTTAAACTTAATTTACCACTTGGTTTAGCTCCATCATGATAGCAGTTTGATCAAAGGTCACTTTCTGATAAAGTTAAAGTAGTGCAATCTGTTGCTCAGATATTTAGCTGGTAGCAGCTCATCTCTCTGTCACATGACACTGGATGTCAAATGTGACTTTTTCTTCAGGCATTTCACTAGTAAGTAATCGTAAGTAGTAGTAATCTTTATTTATATACCGCCTTTTCACTGCAGATCTGAGTCTCAAAGCGGTTTACAATTGTTAATGATTGAAAGATTGACACTACTTGTCAATCTTTCGTCATTTGGAAGGTCTGTCCTGTGTTTCTATTTACTTACTCTTACAAATTCAAGAACAATCCTCTGGACTGAATGTCATGGCACTGACAACAGAAATGCCATTGGTCAGAAATGGAAATAGTTCTACATAAAGTGTACAGTAAAATCCCCATCCAAATCAGAAAGATAAACAAACACAGCCCGCTTAAAAAATTGCATGAAGACAGTATCAGTATAATTTCTCAAAAGTTGACCGGATCATCATCAACAAGTCAACAGGTGGTAAGTGTTCTGCAGGTGCTCTTGAGCAAGGCATGATTCACATCTCATGGTGAAATGAGATGAAATATAATGTAAAACTAGAGCTGCCATGGCCAGCAGAAGGCTCACCTTCAGCCTTATTACTGTCTTTTTCATATTTTTTCAATTGTTTGGGAGATTGTTTGTAAGAGCTTCCGCAGAATATCGGGTCACATTTTACATCCTATTTATGAAGAACAGTAAGGGATCACAAACTCCTGGCCACTCAAATTGATTAAAATGTAAATAGATTAAAGTTTGCTATATGCAATTCAATACTGGTTCTGCATATTCCTCTTGGACTGTATGGATGGCTCACACATTCAAAGTCGTATTCATTTGTAAATAACTATACAGCCACCAAATCTTTACACTGTCCTGATTGTTTCGTTCTTTTAAAATGTAGTTGCAGAGTTAAATATTACACTCAAGAATTAGAAATATGACACAAACTAAACATAGAAGTTGTAAGTACCCAACCCAAGCTCTTAACTGGTCATTTTCTAATTGTTTTATAAAAGCTGAATCGCCTCCAAAGCATCAGCCGCCAGATGTTGATGGTGCTCAGAGCCAGGTGTGGCAGATTGCATATGCACAATGTGTAAAATATCACTTAAAGTGTGAAGTGCTTTTATTACTAATGACTGTTTTGGAGTCTGTCCTATAGGAGCGCCGTGTGTTCACAAAGATACTGTCGCTGCACTGATGCATTGCCCCATATTGAAAACTAATGAGAAATATGTCATGTTCCGTGCACTTCAGCATGTTTGTCTCAGGCCATTATCACTTTACAGGTGAAACTCAAAGAATTGGAACAGTTCATATATTTTTAATTCAACTTAAAATACGAAACCTGCACATGATATAGACCTCATTACATGCCTTTGTTGTTATCATTTTGATGATTATGGCTTACATTCCAAATATTTAAATTTTCTAATTTTGTGAGCAAATTCTCATCATTACGACAAATGAAGGCTTGATAAATCTCACTTTGTGGGTGGGTAATGAGTCTGTCATAAATTAGCTTCACCTTGTACGTTGAACAACAGAAGTAAATGGACTTTTGAACAATATTCTAGTTTCACCTGTATCTTGTGATATACATGTAGACATAATAAAGGCTTAGAATGAATACATTTGTTGTTTTTAAAAATATAATCAATCAATCAATCAATCAACTTTATTTGTATGGCGCCTTTCCAACACAAGGCCACTCAAAGCGCCTCACAACCCACATAATATCAGACACATCAGAAACATCAAAAACTACATATACAAACAATAACTACATTAAAAACAGAATAAAATCACAAGTAATGAAAAAACCTTAAAACATTAAAAGAACACACGGGATTAAAATAATAAATAACCACAATGCATTATTATTATTGCGACACTGCAATAACCACAAACCCTATAAACGACATTAGTCGCCTCACATTGGAGTTTCGTGAGAGGGACCGTGCCACTATTGCAGACCTCCGTAAAGAAGTCCTTCGCCTCACTGCAGAACTACAGGAAAAACAATTACTCGTGTCCAAACTCTTTGATGTCGCTGGCGGGCAGCACTCACGGCTTATGTCACTGAGCGCTGCATACTGTGACACTGTCGTGTGGGAGAGGTCTGTCAGCTCTGGACCCTCCTGTTCTACACCTAAGCGCCCGGTTCCGAATGAGGAACCCGCGAACTGCGAGGAGCCATCCAGCGCCGTGGCCCATGTCCTGAGCCTGTCAAACCGCTATGCAGCCCTCTCCGCTGACATCCCAGCCCCCTCAGCAGAACCTCTGGACTCTGCAGCGTACTCTGCCGTTCGTGGATCTAAGTCCACTGCGAGAAAAACGCTCCTAAAGGAAGCCGTCCTCAGACGAAAGAGTGGTCATTCCCCTTCTCTGACCCCAGTGCATCACCACCACTTACCTTCACCGGGTCAGCAGCAGCGACCCGAGCCTGCTCCTCACGCCGCTCCAGCGTCCCCGAGCACACAGCGTGGGTTGCCCGGAGCTGAGAATCAACACCCCCGCTCCCCTCCATGTGTTCAGCAGCGCCCTGGTTCGGACTCATCCCTGGATGAGCCCGCTGGTTCTGGCCATGGACACCGAGCGCCCTCTCCGCGGCCGCGTCCACTCTTCGCCCCGACTACTCTGATTGTTGGAGATTCCATCGTGAGGCACGTCCGCTTTTTTAACGCGGTCACTCAGTGTTTTCCCGGAGCTACTGTGCCAGACCTGCTCATACGTCTCCCTCCTCTGCTTCACTCCCTGCCCGATACCATATCCAAGGTAATCGTGCATGTGGGTATAAATGATATGAAGCTGCAGCAGTCAGAGGTCACAAAGAAGCACTTTATGGATCTATTCCGCCTCCTCCAGTCCTCCGGGTTGTGTGTTTTTATCTCTGGTCCAGTCCCGACTGTAAACCGGGGAGACTGCTTGTACAGTCGCGTAGTGGCGTTGAACATGTGGCTCCAGTCTGCATGTAGCTCGTTTAACTTTATTTTTATGAATAACTTTGGCCTTTTCTGGAAGCGTCACGTGGCTTATCGTCCAGACGGTCTGCACCCAAATAGATATGGCACCAGCTTGTTGACGGATTACCTACGCCACGTTATTCAGTGTTCCCCGAGGGGGGCGTGACTGTTTACATCGGAGCCCCCACCACCACCACCCTCCTCCTTCTTCTCCTGCTACACCAGCACCGGGTGAGTACTGTGGTGCAAACACTGACCCCTTTCCGTCTGGCAGTGAAATAACAGTCTCGCCTCTGAACCGTGCTGCCTCCTGCTCTAAACAACAACACCTGGTTCAGACCTGGTTCAGTCCTGGTTCAGTCCTGGTTTAGTCCTGGTTTAGTCCTGGTTTAGTCCTGGTTTAGTCCTGGTTCAGACCTGGTTTAGTCCTTGCTGACCCTTCTGTGTGTTCTTAGCGTGTGCTGAAGTGTCTGATGAAGAGGAGCTAGAGCCGACCTCCACAAAGGCCCAGAAAAACAAACGGACCAAGAGGACAGATGGTGAGTACAACTGATCCTGGTGTAGTCCTGGTTTAGACGTGGTTTAGACCTGGTTTAGACATGGTTCAGTCCTGTTTCAGTCCTGTTTCAGTCCTGGTTTAGACCTGGTTTAGACCTGGTTTAGACCTGGTTTAGACCTGGTTTAGACCTGGTTCAGACCTGGTTCAGTCCTGGTTCAGTCCTGGTTTAGTCCTGGTTCAGTCCTGGTTTAGTCCTGTTTCAGTCCTTTTTTAGACCTGGTTTAGTCCTGTTTCAGTCCTTTTTTAGACCTGGTTTAGTCCTGGTTTAGACCTAGGGCAGTCCTGGTTTAGACCTGGTTCAGTCCTGGTTTAGACCTAGGGCAGTCCTGGTTCAGTCCTGGTTTAGACCTAGGGTAGTCCTGGTTCAGTCCTGGTTTAGTCCTGGTTTAGTCCTGGTTTAGTCCTGGTTCAGACCTGGTTCAGACCTGGTTCAGATCTGGTTTAGTCCTGGTTCAGACCTGGTTCAGACCTGGTTTAGTCCTGTTTCAGTCCTTTTTTAGACCTGGTTTAGTCCTGTTTTAGACCTAGGGCAGTCCTGGTTTAGACCTGGTTCAGTCCTGGTTTAGACCTAGGGTAGTCCTGGTTCAGTCCTGGTTTAGTCCTGGTTTAGTCCTGGTTTAGTCCTGGTTTAGACCTGGTTTAGACCTGGTTCAGACCTGGTTTAGACCTGGTTTAGACCTGGTTTAGACCTAGTTCAGACCTGGTTCAGACCTGGTTCAGACCTGGTTCAGACCTGGTTCAGACCTGGTTCAGACCTGGTTCAGACCTGGTTTAGACCTGGTTTAGACCTAGGGTAGACCTGGTTCAGTCCTGGTTTAGTCCTGGTTTAGTCCTGGCTTAGACCTGGTTTAGTCCTGGTTTAGTCCTGGTTTAGTCCTGGTTCAGACCTGGTTTAGTCCTTGCTGACCCTTCTGTGTGTTCTTAGCGTGTGCTGAAGTGTCTGATGAAGAGGAGCTAGAGCCGACCTCCACAAAGGCCCAGAAAAACAAACGGACCAAGAGGACAGATGGTGAGTACAACTGATCCTGGTTTAGTCCTGGTTTCGACCTGGTTTCGACCTGGTTTAGACCTGTTTCAGTCCTGGGGTAGTCCTGGTGTTTAGACCTAGGGTAGACCTGGTTCAGTCCTGGTTTAGACCTGGTTTAGTCCTGGTTTAGACGTGGTTTAGACGTGGTTTAGGCCTGGTTTAGGCCTGGTTTAGTCCTGGTTCAGTCCTGGTTCAGTCCTGGTTTAGTCCTGGTTTAGTCCTGGTTTTGTCCTGGTTTAGTCCTGGTTTAGTCCTGGTTTAGTCCTAGGCTAGACCTGGTTTAGACCTAGGGTAGATCTGGTTTAGTCCTGGTTCAGTCCTGGTTTAGTCCTGGTTTAGTCCTGGTTCAGTCCTGGTTCAGTCCTGGTTTAGTCCTGGTTCAGACCTGGTTTAGTCCTGGTTCAGTCCTGGTTTAGTCCTGGTTCAGTCCTGGTTTAGTCCTGTTTCAGTCCTGGTTTAGACCTGTTTCAGTCCTGGTTTAGACCTGGTTTAGTCCTGGTTCAGACCTGGTTTAGTCCTTGCTGACCCTTCTGTGTGTTCTTAGCGTGTGCTGAAGTGTCTGATGAAGAGGAGCTAGAGCCTACCTCCACAAAGGCCCAGAAAAACAAACGGACCAAGAGGACAGATGGTGAGTACAACTGATCCTGGTTTAGACCTGGTTTAGACCTGGTTTAGGCCTGGTTCAGTCCTGGTTCAGTCCTTGTTTAGACCTGGTTCAGTCCTGGTTAAGTCCTGGTTCAGTCCTTTTTTAGACCTGGTTTAGACCTGGTTCAGTCCTAGTTCGGTTTAGTCCTGGTTTAGTACTGGTTTAGTCCTGGTTTAGTCCTGGTTCAGACCTGGTTCAGACCTGGTTTAGGCCTGGTTTAGTCCTGGTTCGGTTTAGTCCTGGTTTAGTCCTGGTTCAGTCCTGGTTCGGTTTAGTCCTGGTTTAGTCCTGGTTCAGTCCTGGTTTAGACCTGGTTTAGTCCTGGTTTAGACCTGGTTCAGTCCTGGTTCAGTCCTGGTTTAGACCTGGTTCAGTCCTGGTTTAGACCTGGTTCAGTCCTGGTGTTTAGACCTAGGGTAGACCTGGTTCAGTCCTGGTTCAGTCCTGGTTCAGTCCTGGTTCAGTCCTGGTTTAGTCCTGGTTTAGTCCTGGTTCAGTCCTGGTTTAGACCTGGTCCAGACCTGGTCATCAGGATAAACATAAGTCTTTATGTGTCTTATTGTCTCCATCAGAAGCTTCTAGAAACCCAAAGAAACCCTGGAGTGAGGAGGAGAGCCGTGGAGAAGAGGATGGGGAAGTACCTGGCTCTGTGTGCTGTGCCTCACACAGGAGTCTGCAGCCCTCATCAACAGAACCTGGAAGGACCTCAAGTACTTTGTGTATAATACTATTATCCGACTCAAGAGGCAGCTTGTGTAGCTGGTATTTGTGTCAAACTCCTTCCCAAAGCGCCGCAGTGGCTGCAGGTTTTCCATCAGACCAAGCAGGAGCAGAGCAGACTCCTCCCATTTCCTCAGTGAGTTCAGTCTTAACCTGAAGGTTTGAGGAAATGGGAGGAGTCTGCTCTGCTCCTGCTTGGTCTGATGGAAAACCTGCAGCCACTGCGGCGCTTTAGGAATGAGTTTGACCGCCCTGCTTTAATGTTAAGTGCAGTTATGTTTTAAAGTCCCGTTCAAGAGCACTTTGTATTAGGTCCTTTGTAATTGTCCTGTTGGGACAAGTCAAAATACAAAGATGCAAATAAACCTGTCTTTCAAATGTTTTGCTTTGTTTTATTAAAATTGCTGTGATCCCACATAATAATCTGTGTCCATTTGCACATGTGACCAACTATATAATTCTAAATATACCTTCAAAGAGTTAAAAAAAGGTCTATTCATGATTTCTTTTGCAAATTTCACTTATTGTCCCCACTCTGATGGTTCAAAACTTTTTCTTAAATCTTGGTTCTAAAATTTTTTCAATGGAGTGTATAGCTCCGCAGCGCCATCAAGTGTCTAGAAAGTGTTTTTTTCTTCCTCCTAAAACATTGGGAAAGGCAAGTCCTCAGTTTTCATGTTTTTAACTACGACCTCACTAGTGTTTGCGGGAATGTGTGTGTTTGTGTGTGTGTGTTCTGGCGAATAGAGACTGATTCTTGAATGTCTGAAGTGTTATTGCAATAGCACCACACTGAGAGCGAGGGTCAGGGCAGATAGTAACATATGTGTGCACGTGTGTGTGTGCGCGCCGCGGACACGAGTGCACACACACACTTCAGCAACGAGCGTACGAGCAATGAGAAATGAATGAATGAGAATGAAAAGTGTGGAGCAAAGCGATCGGAGGCAGGGAAGTTACAAGTGTGTGTGTGTGTTCTGGTGATTAAATAAAGACTGATTCTTTAATGTCTGAAGTGTTACTGCGATAGCACCACTGAGAGCAGGGTCAGGACAGAGGGAGTTATACTCGTAGGAAACTCTTTTCTTTGGCCTTGCAGCCACACACTCCCTGTGCCCCTCGGTCTGGGGCTTATATGAAAGGTTTAACAGAAGCGGAGAATATAAGAAAGTGCAGGAGAGACGTGTGTGAAAATGCGTGTCACAGGAAGACGTGTAATGTGACGCAAGATAATCAGATATTAGGACCGACATCACACACATCAGGTCTGAGTGAGATATTAGGACCTATAACACACACATCAGGTCTGAGTGAGATATTAGGACCTACAACACACACATCAGGTCTGAGTGAGATATTAGGACCTACAACACACACATCAGGTCTGAGTGAGATATTAGGACCTACAACACACACATCAGGTCTGAGTGAAATATGAGGACCTACAACACACACATCAGGTCTGAGTGAAATATGAGGACCTACAACACACACATCAGGTCTGAGTGAGATATCAGGACCTACAACACACACATCAGGTCTGAGTGAGATATCAGGACCTACAACACACACATTAGGTCTGAGTGAGATATCAGGACCTACAACACACACATCAGGTCTGAGTGAGATATTAGGACTTATAACACACACATCAGGTCTGAGTGAGATTTTAGGACCTACAACACACACATCAGGTCTGAGTGAGATATTAGGACCTACAACACACACATCAGGTCTGAGTGAGATATTAGGACCTACAACACACACATCAGGTCTGAGTGACATATTAGGACCTACAGTATAACAAGCACTTCAGGTCTGAGTGAAATATTTATCAATCGTTACTCCTTTCACGGAGAGTAACTCTGTAGATGGACAAATACATTATAACTTTAATGTAGAATTATTTATTTTTATACATTGTGTTTGTAATTTTTGACACCTCACTTTTATATTTGTTTTTGATGTTTTAAATTCTAATTTAAACATGATTTTCCAACTGGAGTTAAGACAATTTTTCAGGGAGATAATCTACTGACACAAGGAGAACATGCAAGCTCCACTCCAAAAGGCCCCTTCTGGCTGAAAGTTTTTTTCTTTTTTTTTTTTTACAAACACACACTCACTACTCAAGTATCTTTTTAAATTACCATGAGTCAATATTTTGGCTATTCTACCCACCTCTGGGAATGTATTTAAGTTTGTGACAAAATAGGTGACATATGAGGACAAGTGTGTGTGTGTGTTAAAAGTGTGTTAAGGTAGTACCGTGCACGACCAGAGAGGCGCTTCAAACTTTTTGGGACGGAGTGTTTCGGCCCCGACACACATTTTCACTATTTGTAGACATTTTGGGACATGCTTGATTTTTGGTGTGGAGCTTGTTCTGGGCCTCTACAACACTGTAGTATGCATGGAAAAATGGGGACCTGAAAAAAGTCCTGACATTTCCTCAGGTCCTGATATTGAAGGTGTGTTATCATACAAAAGTCCTCATATGTCCACAAAACAAACGCACACACACACACACACACACACACACACACACACACACACACACATACACGTTTTTGTTACCTGGTGGGTCCCTTTGACAGGGCCGTTCAGAATGGGACCCATAGACATAATCTTTTTTTACCAAGACTTTAAGTAATACAAAACAGTCAATAGAAACCAAACAACTATTTTAAAGGAATTTTATTTTAGATTTTGTTTTCGAATTGCAGTGATTCTATTTTTGACATAGAATTTAATGCCACTCCATGTCCGATGTCTAAGGTCATCTGGTGAGGCATTAATGCAGGCCAGGCAGTGAGACTTCCCAGGGACCTTTCCAGTCTGTATGAAAGGTGTCATGGTCTTCTCCACAGCCTTCACCTCAGATGCAGACCATGGCTTTCTTACACGTTCTAGGGAGAGAAATAAAAATATATTAGCAATATACACTCCCAGGGTGAGGACCAAGCAGCCTGGCTGTAATCCCCCACCTGGTACACTTACCAGAAGGGGCACTGCCACTACCATGGGGTGCATCTGGATGAATGGTTGAAGGTTCTCCGCTTGAAGTTTCTTTTAGCCCGTCCGTTTGTGAGAGGATCTCTACTGCTCTCCCTGTCGCACAGAAAATAAAAATACAAGTGGCCTTTAGGGGAAAAAAATCATACATATTTTAATAATATCAAGAATTACCTTCAGGCTCAATTTGTATCTGGTCGAGGCTCTTTCCTTCGAATTCCGTCACTCTTCCCTGCTCCATGGCCATCAACACTTTGCTGATTTTGGCCAGCTCCAGTGTCCCCTCTGGTAGTCTGTAATATTGCCTGTGGATGCGAATGTCATGGCCGAGGAAGTTGGCAAGTATGTCCATCTCATTCTCTTTCATATTGAGAACTGTAGACATAGTAGCTATGTGCTTTCTAAGTTTGGTTGAGGATAGCATCTCTGGATGCACCGCACCACATTCTTTGGCTACCTGGCGTAGGGAGTCTGATCCCCTGATGTGGGTGTCTGCGCCCGGGCGGGAAAAGAAGTATGGGTTATGGTCAGAGATGGAACAGGCCCTTCTGTTCTCCACCAGCACCTCCATCGAAGCAATCATTTCAGGAGTCAAAAGAACCGGCACTTTCCGACTTCTTTTCCCTTTAATTTCAATGCGTTGAAAATGCTGACACAGCTTTTTCTCAAGTTGGGACAGTCCCAGAGCAATGTCAGAATGGATCCCAGTCTTACTTCTTAAGGTAAAGGCTGTCAGTGGCATCTTTGAAACCTCACCTTCCCTTCTTCGATTGAAAATGATGACCTCACAAAGAGTCAAAACTGCCAGTTTAGACCAATGCTTAGACGTTGGCTCACTTATTAGGGTTTGCACATATTCAGGTCGACATACCTCAATATGTGCATGCATGGCTCTAACGTCCTCAGTCAGAAGGAGCAGGTCCGGAGTGTTCCACTTGGCTTGCCGGAGGGTCTGTAGGGCAGCAGAAGAAACACAGACGTCCCACCTCTTCTCAAAAAGCAGCCGGCTTCGTTGGAGGTTTTTAATAAATAGTTCATCAACACAATGCTCCATTTTTGAGTCACATTCAAGAATATCTGCTAGCTTTCTGAGGCTATGGCCGAGTTTGAGGGCCAAGGATGGAGTCTTGTATTGATTTGTTTCCTCATCATATCCAGCCACAGACCTGACTGCATCAATCACATGGTTAAAGTTGGAAGGAATAAAGAAATCCTTAATTGTTTTCAGTTTCCCTGCGGTTTTTGCTTCGTTAATTAACCT